TGAACCTCGAACACGAACTTTGCTGCAGGAGAGGCCTCCTGAGCTTCATCAGAATCAGTGTCCGCTGATTTTTAAGGGCATGCTCAAAGGCCCCATCCCTCAGTGAGGTGAGCCTCTCACAGCCATGGAGACCAGCTGCTCCTGCTTCTCCTCCCGTCAAAGCCGCGTGGCAGGCAGAGAGCTCCTCTGTGGCTGCCCCTTCTGTGCTGTTGTCCAGGACACAGTGAGAAGCGGGTGCAGAAGGGAAGGGAGACTGAATCCAGGCAGGTGCTGCTGGGTAGGCCATCTCAGCATCGATCCGTGCCTGCCTTCAACACTGGCCGTGTTCGGAGCCCACAAAGCTTAGCCCAGCATCACTCGGAACCCTTGTGATCCCCGGTTGTAACAGTGACCGTAATAAAAACAGGAACAGCAGCAGGGAAAACACGGCGCCGTTTGCGAAGGCCATAATCCCCCTCGCTGGCCGACCCTGGCTAACTCACGCTTCAAGTGTCCCCGCGTCTCTCGTGACATTTGGGCGAAGGAAAGCTGTGGGCGGAAGGCCAGGCCAGATCAGCCGGCGGATCTCCCAGTGAAGAGCAGTTGCTCAACCAGGATCCCCAGCCCCATCTTGTCTAGCAGCAGCAAGAAAATACCCTCAGCATGACGCTACTCCCCTGCAAGAGAGAAAGCTGGGGTTAATCAAGCTGTAAAAGGGGACAAAACCCATTCTTGGAGGAGAAGGGGCTGGGTGGCTACTAGTCCTCATGGCCATCGCATCGGAATCAGTGTGCTTGGGTGCTCCAGGCGGGGGCTGCCACACTCCGGTCCTGCCCTGGGCCTTTCGGTCTCACCTTCACTGCTGGCTCCCGAAAGATGGACCTCGGTCCCGAATTCGTCAATTTTCAGCGTAGGTCTGTAGGACCAGGTGCTCTGGCCAGTCGATCCCGGGATCCAGAGGGAGGGACCCTGTGTGAAGTAGAATGCAGCCTCTTGAAGTTTGCCTGCTCGGATACCTCAAGTGCTAGAAAGAGCTGGTTCTGCATTTGGGACAACGGATGCCCCCGAAGCCTTGCTGCCAGTCCTGTTAGAAGGCAGTCGCTCGTTCGCCTTTGCTGGCTCCTTCCAGGAGTTCATCTGGATGCTTTCTGTGCAGAAATATCCCCCAACTCTGCTGCCTGATTTTGGCCTGTAACTGCTGCTTCTCCTCGGTGCGTTTGCATGTGACTTTTAGCGCACTCCAATTAGATTTCAAACTGTGCTGCCACCTTTCTGTGGCAAGTCCAACGAACAGTGCATCCCCCTTTGGTAAGCATAGATTTTGCTTAACAGGAGCATCAGCCACGTGTGGTGTTCTTACCCACAGCACATCTTCACCTCATGTTTCCACCCTTCCAGCTGTGAGCCACGAGGCTTGCGGGAAAGCAACAGAATCAGGGAATAGGGTGACTTGTACCGCACCAGCATGAAGGTGGATGATGGCGCCATCTTTAAAAATGCACCACAAATGAAAACTTCCCTGCAAGCAGAAAGCTAGCTCAGCAGGGAATGAGGTGGAAAAGAATGTTTTCCCCGCTGAGCTAGATATTTAGTTGCAGGGAGTGCTGTCAGACATTTTTTTTAAAGATATTTAGATATGCCTACAATGGTAGACTGAATTGGGGTATGTAATGCATGTTTTTAGATGGGAGCTCCCAGATTCTGTCCCTGGCTTCTCCGGTTAAAACAGGCAGCGAGTGACGGGAAGTTCTCTGCAGGAGACTTGCAAAGCGTCTAACCAGTTGCTGCAAACCAGGAGTGTACAACGCAGCGCTCTTGTGAAGGCATTGGCAGGCACCTCTGGACAGGTAGTACCTCTGGGGTCTCCCTTGAGGTCACCAACCAAAGCCAGGTGCAATGTACCACAGCTGGGTGCATAGGCTGCTGTTGTCAGCCAAGAGCCATATGTCCAGGGGTCTACCAGTGAGTCCCAATCTAACTTCTACTCGGCCTGCCGGAGGGAAGGAAGGCTGACTTTCTGATAGCTCACTCTGCTTCATAAAACTTCCTTGCAATCAGAAAGAATTGGGACACTCTCGGGAACTCCGGCTGGTCTTGTTGCCCAGATATTGCCTTTCCCAGCAGGAGGTCGAGACGCTCATCCCATTTTCCCGATTTCTTAATTCCGTGCTCTGCTTAGGGCGGCTCACCTCGCAGGTCTGTACAAAACGGCACATTTTTGTACACCTGATCCCACAACACGGTAATCTCCATGTGGTGCAATGCCGTGTCTTGCGAAGAGGATGTTGCCAAACACTTCCTGGAACCACAGCGCGCTCTCTCTGGGGCTTCTCTTCCTTGTCTTGTCTGGAATGCGATTTCCAAACAAAGATCGCGTCTACAAGGAAATGCTCCCAGGTTTCAGGAAAGAACACTTACCAAAATGCCCAACGGATTGATCACCTCAGTTTCAACAATGGCATGTCTCACATGTGTGCAATTTGGAGGTGGGGAGCTTTCCCACCCCCAAAGGTCCAAAATGGCAGGTCTCCTCTGGGTAACGTCTGAAGGAGAGGCCTTTTGGAGAACTTTCTCCCGCGGTATTCCCAGACTGTGGAATACACTCTCCCGGAAAGTATGTCCATCCCAGGTTTTGTCTTCAGGACTGGTAACACCACCGCTGTTTCGGGGGCTGCTTTGGTGGGTTGTTAGCAGATAGCCTGGCTGGACAGATAGCACAGTTCACGCTCGCTGGCTGAAAGAAACCTGCGTACGGAGGGGTCCCCCACGGCAGATTCCAGTGGCCGAGGAACAAGCAAGAAGGGGGGTTGCCCCCCTCGCCACCCCACTTGTGGTACATCTAGACACACAGCCCATAAGGAGCCCCCAGGGCTGTGCACAGCAGGAAGAGTTTGTCTTTCCAGTGCAGATATTAACTTTAACTAGCAGACCCTTCCTTCCATGGGTGACATGGGTACACCATAACGGGGTCCTTGCCTAGGGATGCCCACAGCCCTCACTCAGAGAGAGAAGGCACCTTGCGTCCGCTGGAAGAGCGGTGTGGGTTTGCTTTGCAAATTTGGGATCGTCGGTAGCTTGAAGACTTTGCCGTATAAACTACTAACGATCTCAAATTTGCAAAGCCAGGTCCATTATAAATCTAGGGCTGTCATTTTATTTATTTATTTATTTATTTATTTATTTATTTATTTATTTATATTGCAATTTATATCCTGCCTTTTTCCTACAAAGGGCTCAAGGCAGCTGACATCATTCTCCTCCTCCATCTTATCCCCAGAACAACAACCCTGTGAGGTAGGTTGGGCTGAGAGTCTGTGACTGGCCCACAGTCACCCAGTTGGCTCCATGGCTGAGCGGGGACTTGAACCCGGAGTCCCAGGCCCAGGCTCTGAACCACGACGCCACGCTGGCGCTCGCAATGAGCAAGATGCTATGGGTGTCATCTTTCCCTCTTCTGCTTTTCAGCCTTTCTTCCAGGTTCTTAGGGGAGATCCTTGTAGTGGGAGGATGGTAGGAAAAGTCAAGAACCAGCTGTTGTTGTCGTGAGTCGCGAAGTCATGTCCGACCCGTTGTGACCCCATAGACAATATTCCTCCAGGCCTACAGCGGGATTAAACACCCCCCTCCATCCCCCTGCAAATATGAACTTCCACTCTGCAACAGGCTAATTCTTCCCACTAAAAGCAAAGTTTCATGGAACATCATTTGCACATCAGACCTTAACGCTTGTGCCCCATTGAACTTTCCGGCAGAAGGTGTGGTCCGTTTCCCAAATACATGTGGAGTCACTCCAGGAAGAAGAAGAATGCCAAGAACACGAGATTTAAATTGCAGGTGCAAATCTGGGTGTAAGCAATCACTTCTGGCAAAGAACCAACTGCTGTCACCCTGAACTGTGTTGAAATCCAGGTGCAGGGAGGTATATAAAAGGTGCGAGCGGGAGGGAAACATCACAGCCGCCTCTCGGAATCCACTGGTGCGTTCGGTGAGTTCCTTCATTTTAAGCCAATTAACCAATTCAGAGTTCAATTAATGACCTGTAGAGCTGTCCGGGATACCTGTAGGGCTGCCTTCCTCCATACGAGTCTGCCTGCGAGTTAGTATCTTGCAGGGGTGTCCCCCCGTCCCCGATCAGGGACATGTTTGAATGCCCCTCTGTTATTCTTCCGAACTCAGGCATGTACATGGCTCTGTCACAGAAGGGTTTTTACTTGGCTGGTGCGGTTTAAATCTTCCCTTGCTGTGCTTAGCATTCCACTGATATTAGGCCGCTCTGTAAATATTGGTTTTAAAATCTGGATTGCGTTGTTAGCACACTTCTGGGAGGCACCAAGAGCCTAGATTGCATCGTGAGTAAAAGCTTCTTTTTAGAAAGCTCATTTGCTGCCTCTTGTGGCATTTCTGCGCTCTGTTCATGCGCAGGAGCAAACATGGGAAGTCCAGCGCTGCACGAAGGGGGTGAGGCATTGCTCTTCATGGGCCGTGTTTTCATCCACCCATTACGGTTGGAGCCTCGGGGGGGGGGGGCTGAGGGGAGAAACAGAGCACGTCTCTCCGACTAGCGACATTTGACTCTCCTGCCAAGCCGGGTGGCCATGGACATGTGCCAAAAAGAGGATGAAAGAAGGCACAGGTCCATTAACATGCTCGTTCAACAGAGGACTGTCCCCTGTGAAGCAGGTTCTAGGATTGGCCCTAGTGCTGTGACCCCGTTGAGGAACTGAAATTATTTGTCTTTCGGCGCCAGGCCAAGACCTTTTATTTAAATCTTATTTTAATTGTTAAATTATTGTATTTATTAGGATTTTAAATTAGCCGAGAATGCACCGGGTGCGGGGTTAAATGTTTTTATTTATACACACACACACACACACACACACTATATATATATATATACTATATATATATACTATATATATAGTGAGCCGCCCCGAGGCTTTGTTGCGATGGGGGTGGCATAGAAATGTTTTAATAAATAAGTAAATAAATAAAAATGGAGGAACCCTCCCTTTTCATATCAGGAGGAAGCGAAAGACATGGCAGCCACGACCACCGGCCATCCCGGAACCACGGGCAGCCCGGACTGCTTTCCGCACTGCACCCTGGAGCACGCGGTGAAGACCATCGTCGACATCTATCATCAGTACTGCGTCCGCGACAACAAGGACGACCTGCTGAGCCTCAAGGACCTGAGGGAGCTCCTGAAATGCCAGGCGCCGACTTTCCTCGCTGCCTGCGTGAGTGGCCAAGCCGAGGGGACGAGGGGTGGGGGTTTGCGTGCGGAACTCGCAGGAAAGTTGCGGGGGACTTCATGAGAACCGGGCAAGCCTTTCTCTGGGTCCGTCACGGGCTGTGACTTGCAGGAACGAGGACCCAAAGGGCAGCCAAGCCCCAACCCCAATTCCCAGTGTGGGGGGTCCGAGTTTAACCCTTTCCTCCCACTGTGTGCCAGATCTGCTGTTTGCATCACTCCACTGAAGCCCATTTGTGCGTGGGGCTAGCTTCCTTTAACCATGGCAAGCAGGAAAGGTTGAACTTGTCAATACGGAGAACATTTTAATGTTTTAAGCTCTGCTTTTTTCATATGTTCTATTTGATGTTTATTCTTTTCAGTGCCAGGCGAAAACCTTTTTATTTTTCTGAGTTTTAGAATTTGTTTTCATATGGGTTTTATTGTGGATTGGTTAAGATTTTGACTAGGACGCTGTGCTTTATTCTGTTTTGTCTTATTATCAAACCATCCTGAGACCGCAGTAAGGGGACGGTCTAAAAAGAGTTTTAAATAAGTAAATGTTTGGGCTACTGTCCCTCATGTTATTCTGGTTTAGGATTTTTTTAGTCTTTTGTTTTGCTTCCCCGGAGTATTAGCTGCATTCACACACACATTGGCAGCTTTGACACAGTTCAGGAGTCCCCCGTTGCATGAACGGCGTCTGGTTTCGCTCCTAGTGTAGAAGAAAGAAGGCAATCAAAATGGATCAAAGAACTGCGGCAGTTCTCTTGCAAAAGGATCAGCAACTCAAATATAGCCATGTTCATTCTGTTAATCGGCCAGCTGAGCTCCCTAATTAACTCTAAATAAATAAACACCCTCAGCCAACATGGGTTGTGTTGGCACACAAACCAGGCAAGGGTGTGTGGCTGAGCCAGTTAGCCAAGGTACTTTCTCAGCCTGAGTATCGCTAGGCTTTACAAGCAATACCTGAGGCTTTCCTTTGAGTGCCGCGTCCAAGGGAGGCTCAGGGGGGTGCACCAAGGGACGGGGGTACTTGGTGGTGGCCCCGCTCCCCGATTTCAGAATTAGCTTCACGGCAAGAGGAATTTCACACCCTCCTTTATTATCTGACATTGCACAATACTAGGCTGGGTGGGAAATGGTCTGAGACCAGGTAAGGCAGCGTCCTGTGGTGCTTGGCTGGACACCTGATCTTGAACAAGAGCATCATCCATCACCAGATTAATCTCCCTTCCTCTCCCCATATTGCTCACCCTAACAGAACCGGAGCCATCCTGGCTACATTGAAAAGCTCTTCAAAGAGGCAGATGTTGATGGGAACAAACAGCTGACCTTCGAGGAAACGATCAAGGTGTTCGCGCTCCTGGCTGACGACGCTCATCGCATCAGTCACGACGAGGACCGCTGCGGCCCAGACAAGGACTGATAATCCCCAGTGGCTGAACCGGCAGCCCCTCGCAGCACATCTGCTGGAGCTGATTGTTCCCCAAATCCTTCCTGATAACCCACCGCATGCCCAAGGGCCAAAGTGGAAGACGAACTGGAGACAGGCAATGACCAATTCTCCATTTCTCCCTCGGTCAAAAGCTTCTGCCTGACTGGTTCTCCTCCCACTTTTTCCTCTTTTACATCACCTTCCCCAGCTGCTTTTCTCTTTGCAGGGGAAAAGATACCGAGCAACGCCATGCACCTTTTTCCCTGCTGGAAAAAACAATTTGGAAAACTGTGCATCTTCTATGTAATTTGGCTCATGCTCTGTTCCCAGCACACAGCGGCAGATTCCGTTTGGTTTTGGCAGCATGTTGATGCGAGGAAATAAAACCACCAAAATCGCCCACGAATGAATGGCGTTCGTTTACTTTGAGGGCACGCACAGAATCTCCATGGCCTGGCACCCAAGTCTTGGTTCAGAATTGGTGATGGAGCAAAACTGGGGAGGGGGGCAGGGTTGACTGGAGGAGAAGGGTGGATTGGGGGTGTCAGAATCCCGGAATCTCAATTTGAGAAGAAGAAATAAAACTCGGGTTCGTGGGAAAGATCAAGCGTCCAGACCATCTGAGGCTTTATTGTATTAACCCAAGGTTCCCGCGGTACTCACGATAATGCATGCATTACCGGGCAGGCAGAGGTGAGCTCTGCTGCAAAGCTTCAACAACATTGCAGGGTATTTTATAGGTACACAGGTACAGGGCCATTGATGACAGAATGCAGAGATTACAATAAGATTCGGAGGTCATCGCATACAGAACAGATAAAGGAATGTCAGTCAGTCATACAGAGACAATGAGATTACAGTATTTCTAATTGCCTGTATTGACACTTTAGTTCAGTAGCTTGAACCCATCTCCAGGTCTGCTTAGTTATGTAAATTCAAGCTACTGAGAAACTATGCATGAGCTCAAGACTCCTATCTAGACTCTAGACATTCTGAATTGGCCAGGGCACATGGAGCCTCTGGGCTATCAAAAGATACTTCCTTGTAAACTGAATTCCAACAA